GTTTTAGGCTCAGTTTGTGGTTGCTGAACTATGTTGTTATGTGGTTATTCAAACAAGCACTAAAACAGGGTAAATAGGATGGGGCAAATGGGATTATGAGAATCCACCGCAATGCCAAACGCTGCCTTACTGGTATTCTGAGATGTTTGTATAAATCAAATGTTTGCCTCTTACACAGGTCATACACATTTTATACAAGAATAATTACAAATACACATTTTATACAATGTTTAAAGAAAAACAGAACAATCAAAGTGAATTTTCGAAATAGTACAAACTTATGTTCCATATCATTTCCGACACAATCATAAGACAATATGGCTAAAATCTTAAGTATAGTAATTCCAAAACAGATGCAAGCATCCTTGAACTGATCTTATTAAAAGGGACTCTGGTATGAACATTGATATTATGGACACTAAGACTATGGACGACCATGATTTGACAGAACAAAAGTGCAAGAGATATTGAGAACCACCATGATTAGCCACTCTATCTTGTTGAAAAACTGTGGTTTTCAAATAATCTCTTTTCTAGTTAGTACCTTTCATAAGTAACCTCTTTCCAATGGAATAGAAGTGCAGTAAAAAGTAAGGCTAGTTTTTCTTGGGAGCCACAGTACAACACAGAACATGATTTTTTGTTTCTCCAATCTCCAGCAATGAGGATGGCAAAACACAAACCAGAACAGATCCTAAATACCAGTTTAGAACTTCCACAGCAAGTCAGTGGCATCAGTGCAACAGGGTTTCGAGCATAAATTGACAGAATACAACTCATGGAATCTATCATTATTTCAGTTTTTAAGAATCAGCATGCTGTTGCGGATCAAGTCAATGGCACTGTCCCCCACCATTGAGGACAACTTTGTGTGCCGATGGTAAACTATGACCGAATCCACTACATCATCGCTCCATAAGGGCTTACGCTCATTGACAATGCTAAAAAATGGTGTATCTGGAAGCAGCGAGTCTCTGCTGTCTTCAACAGGGAAGACCTTGACATTGCCTCGCTCTTAGGCACTATCTGAACCGAGGCCAGATTGTGGACTACAGCAGTGGCAACTGGCCTCCAGGCATCACTACCGGCAGAGCTTAGCCTAGGCTGTGTGTGTATTTGACCTACACGTATGCCAATCGTACATACAACCATTTTATCTACCAATGCATCGCGACGCTAAGCTTTTGTGTTTTCTGAAGATAAAGAACAGAATCTTACTTTTATATAGCAGCAAATAAAACGTTAAACCATTTACCAATGTCAACATCTAACCGTCTGATATAAAATGGCTCTTCAGTTACCTGTGTTCGCATTCCAAACTCTCCAGCAAGATCTTCTAGTGGAACACACTTCTGCTTCTGGAAAGTATGAAAAAAAAATCAAAGCAAAGATTGTGGATTTAGTAAGACAAGTGGATCTTACCAATGCAATATACTTGGACAATGATAAGACAATAACACATCCTTCTACAGTTTAACAAACTAATGTTGACAATAATTTCAATGAAACACCTATCCAACATACCATGTACAGAAATTAGATCATACATTAAGTTCTACTGCATTCACGATATCAAAAGCAAGACAGTTGATTTCTTCAAACAATGAATCAGTGGCAGCCGTCAGAAAGCATCACTAGACTACATCCACACACAAAGAAAGTGCACCTTGATGTATTCCACAAAATTGTGGAGCAAACCCTGGCCACCATCTTGCGTCTCACTTTCAGTTGTCCCTTCAGCATCAACTGAAAAGGCCCCTTTCCATTTCTCAAATTCCAGAGCAGCAGCTTCCTCTTCCTTGGCTTTCCGTGCCATAGCTTCTTCTTCCTAAAGCAATACGCAACTTAGCATGAGAGCTCAATATATAACAGCATCAAACAGAAGAATCAGGAGTTAAACAACTTCTAACCAATAATCTCTCTTGGGCCTCACGCTCCTCATCCTTCTTCCTCCTCATTTCCTCATAACGGTCTTGATTAGTTCTCCTTGAATTCCGTGCTGCTTCATTAGCCTTGCAAGATATATAACCATGCAAGTGAGTAAAAGGCAATCAAATGCCATTATGTTCCATACTCTGTCGTGAGATAAACAATCAAATAAGCAATAGTTCATGTTTTAAGAAAAGAAGATATAATCTCTCAATTGACATAAAATCAGTAATCAGTCATCTTGTATAAGGAGATAAGTGTAAGATGATAAGATGTACGCTAACTAGCTAGTGTCAGGAGCTGAAAGCACATTGTGACACTGGCATGGTAGATGAACAATTTATATATGCTTGTGTAGCTAAAGTTGAAGGATTTGACTGAGTACTAATTTCACACAGAATCTAAGGTTCATAGGTGCAGTTGCTGGCATAATAGAAGAATACATCAGTGCAGCCTAATTCTTTGACCAACCTGGCGCTGCGCCTCCCGCTCTTCCCTCTCTTGCCTTTTCCTTTCCTTCTTGGAGCCTTTAGGGACATTGGGATCCTCCTCCTCGCTCCCTGACTCATCATCTGCAACTGCACAACCGAAAATTATCAGAGCCCAAGCTAGCTAGGGTTAATACTTACTGATGCAATCGATGGAAAGGCCAAGTCCTTTCGGGTGTTCCACTACCATCACGACTGGTGGACGCTGCCGACGAACTCGCCGCAGCTGGCCTCCTACGCATGCGGCGCGCCGCAGCGCCGCCACGAAGCACCCGTTCCCCCTGGAGCGAACGAGATTAGCGATGCAAGATTACTGGCTAGGTAGCTACTGGGAGTGGGTTAGATTGGGCAAAGCGATGGAAACCTAGAAGTGCGGAGAGGAGGGGTACCTGGAGTGGCTGGGGCGGGAGGCGGTGGTTGTCGACCGCGGCGGTGGCATCGGAGCGGCGGCGCCAGAGGAGGAGGGGGAAGATGGCAAAGACCAGCAGCGCGCACACGACGGCGGCGAAGATCCCGCCGGCGCCGTCCATCTTCGCAGCGTCTGATGTCCCTCTCCAAACCCTCGATTTTGCTTCGTTCTGCAAGGTCCGATGGATCGACCAATTTCTATTTTCCCGGACGAATCGAATCGAATTGAATCGAATCGAATTGAATCGAATAGGGGAAGCGACGACGACGCAAGTCCCCCTGCACTGCAGTTCAGACGCGGGGATGGACGGTTCGGATCAAGGCTCCGTTTTGTTTGCTTTTTTTTTTTTTACAAACTCGCAAACTTTGTTAAGACGTCAAAATGTTTACAAGAATGAATAAAGATATTTACAGTGACGAATAAAAGATCATCGGGTTGGCTTAACTAAGCATGGCAGCCAACCTCTAAAGAATGTGCATGCTTCTCGAGAGTGTGAGTCTCGATATTCAAGGTTTTATAAGCACTGGTAGAACACCCATATGATTGCTACAGGCTAAAATAAAAAAAATGAAGGGCAAGGTGTATCAGCTCCCAGTGCCCCTACACCCTCATAAACAGTAAATTTAAAATAAAAATCCAAAAAAATTGAAACTTTGGGAGATCAAAGATGAGCAAACTTTTGATGTTCTTGTAAATTTTCAACCACAAATAACATGTGGGGAGCCCTCACCAAAATTAAGTACTCCTCAAAAATGCAAATAAACTTAGGACAATGATGTTTTTTAGATGAGGTCTCCTTGAATATTATTTGAGGCTGAAATTATGCAAGAATGCCAAATGTTTGATCATGTTTGATGTACCAAGGTTTTAGGTTTTTTTTTGTTTACCTTTTTGGATTTACTATTTATAGAGGGTGTAGGGGCACCCGAGCGTTGAAAGTCATGTCTCATAAATCATTGAAACAAATAATTAAGGTCGTCCCTAAGGTTAAACGTATTTCTTCCTCACAAGGTCAACATGTTTGGATATCAAAGGGGCGCCCATCAAGCTTGCCACCCCATGATGCAACCTTTCCTTTTTCTACCGGACCCTCTCATTCCCGCCCGACTCACCGTCGTAGCGGGACATTTCTTGCTTGAGCCCCTATTTTAAAGCTGGATAACACCCACCTCACATTCGCCATGGCACCCTCTCTTCTTTACACCGTACTTCCCCATGGACCGCCAATGAGGAGTTCCCAGCCAATCGCCCGCTCTCCATCCTGACCCCCTCTCCCCATGTTTGTGTTGATCCACCACCACCATCAGGGGGGAGGCATGCGCCACCCGCGATGCCCCTCGAGCCAAGAATGCATATCCGATGTCTCCTAAGTGTAGGATCGAAAGCATGCTAGAGGGGAGGTGATTAGACTACTTGACCAAATAAAACCTAACATTTTTTCAATTTTAGTTATGGGCATATTTTAGCAATTCTAACAAGTCAAGTATCACCCGACACATGCAATTCTACGAGTATAGCAGCGAAACATAACACATTGCACATGTAAGTAAAGGAGGAGTTTGAAGAAGGCAAACGCAAAGGGGACACGAAGATTTTTGGCGTGGTTCCGATAGGTGGTGCTATCGTATGTCCACGTTGATGGAGACTTCAACCCATGGAGGGTAACGACCGCGCGAGTCCACAGGGGGGCTCCACCACGAAGGGTCCACGAAGAAGCAACCTTGTCTATTCCACCATGGCCTTCATCCATGAAGGACTAGCCACACTCGGGTAGATCTCCACGAAGTAGACGATCTCCTTGCACTTACAAACTCCTTGGTTCAACTCCACATGATCTTGGAGGCTCCCAAGTGACACCTAACCAATTTAGGAGACACCACTCTCCAAAAGATTCAACCATAAAAGTGCATGACAACCTCTGCTTCCCCCTGTGAAGGTTCTATATATCCTTTACTTTTACTTTCTACCCTTATACAAGAGTCATGGTGAACTTCACCTTTCCTTTTCACACTTTTTATTTTTGGCAAGCACTATATGTTGGGGAAAGATCCAGATATATATACCCACTCGGATGTAGGTTATCATAAATTATTATTGTTGACACTACCCTTGAGGTAAAAGGTTGGGAGGCGAAACTATAAGCCCCTATCTTTCTCTGTGTCCGACTGGGGCTTTGAACTCATAAGTATCGCGTGAGTGTTAGCAATTGTGAAAGACTAAAAGATGGTTGAGTATGTGGACTTGCTATACAAAAGCTCTTGCATTGACTCTTTTCGATATTATGATAAATTGCAATTGCTTCAATGACTAAGATCATAGTTTGTTAGTTTTCAAAGAAATTTATGATTCATACTTTACCTTGTGAACGAATTGTCACTTTAGCATAAGAAATTATATGACAATATATGTTGTTGTTCTAAAGATGATCATGATGCTCGCATGTCCGTATTTTATTTTATCGACACCTCTATCTCTAAACATGTGGACATATTTATCGATTTTGACTTTCGCTTGAGGACAAGCAAGGTCTAAGCTTGGGGGAGTTGATATGTCCATTTTGCATCATGCTTTTATATTGGTATTTATTGCATTATGGGATGTTATTACACATTATGGTACAATATGTATGCCTTTTCTCTCTTATTTGACAAGGTTTACATGAAGAGGGAGAATGCCGACAGCTGGAATTCTGGACCGGAAAGGGGCAAATTTGAGAGACCTATTCTGCACAACTCCAAAAGTCCTGAAAATTTACGAAGAATTATTTTGGAATGTATAAAAAATATTGGATGAAGAAATACCAGAAGGGGACCCACCAGGTGGTCACAAGCCTGGGGGCGCGCCCCTAGGGCTTGTGAGCCCCCTGGCAGGCCTCCGATGCCCATCTTCTGCTATATGAAAGGTTTTGACCTAAAAAACATAAGGAAGCTTTTGGGATGAAGCGCCGCTGTCTCGAGGCGGAACCTAGGCAGAAACAATCTAGGGCTCCGATGGAGCTATTCTGCCGGGGAGACTTCCCTCCTGGAGGGGGGAATCGAAGCCATCGTCATCACCAACGATCCTTTCATCGAGAGGGGGTCGATCTCCATCAACATCTTCACCGGCACCATCTCCTCTCAAACCCTAGTTCATCTCTTGTATCGATCTTTGTCTCAAAATCCCAGATTGGTACCTGTGGGTTGCTAGTAGTGTTGATTACTCCTTGTAGAGTTGTAGTTGATGCTCGCTACTGCAGGACTCTGCTAACGCGACACTACGATCAGAGACCCTTCGACGAAACTGTGTGCGATGCATTAATCACAAACGATGGTGTAAAAACCCCGTCAAAAAAGGTGCAAAATATTTGCGATGACGGATGCATCAAACACGGTTCCAATTTTAGTTACGTGTGTGATGCAGGGCATACGGTTCAGTTCAATTAACTATTTGCGATGAGGAAGAAGAATAGAAACGGGCAGCCAGATGAAGGCGTGTGCGATATACGGCATACAGTTCACTGAGATTAACTATTTGTGATGAGGAGGAACAACAGAAACGGACAGCTAGATAAAGGTGTGTGTGATTGAGGGCATACGCTTCAAAAGGATTAACTGTTTGCGATTAGGCAACAGAACAGAAACGGTCAGGCAGATCAAAGTGTCTGTGAATGATGGCATACACTTCACACGGATGAACTGTTTGTGATTAGCCACAACAAACAGAAACAGCTAGACAGATCAACGTGTGTGCGCTAGACGGTCACACATTCTAATTAAAAGAAGCATGTGTGATGGTAATAACGAGCGTGCACGGTTATTGGAACAAGACGTGTGCTGACATTGCCTATTGTGGTACACCCTATGGTGCAAACGCCACGTACGCGGCCGAGAAAGCATGCACACGTTACGCCTTCCGGGAATAGTGCCACACTTAGAACCGTCAATAAATTTTGAGCCTCTGTCCCGTTACATTCCAAATTACTACCACGCTATATTTAATTGCAAACCTGTTCACACCGATCAAAACCTAAACGGTTTCCCACTTAGGAGCGTATTAGTACTCGGTTATAAATACTACTACTCCAAGATGACTCCACATTCCTCCTCAACTCCTCATCCACAAAAACAAACAAGTCATTCATCATCGTTCCCTTGCGTCTGCCATGGCCAACATGAGTTCTGGGTCGAGAGATTGCCACAAGGGAGAGGTGAGCATGGAAGCGGAAGCACGAGAGATGTCCCGCCTCGTCACGAAAGCAACCGTCATGTCTCATCGCGCGGCCGTAGCAGCACAGAGGTCCCACCGCGGGGGCGCACCTTGGGGGGTAGGGCACACCCAGGGGGCTTGTGGCCACCCCAAAGGTTGGTTGGAGGTGTTACGCATCTCCGGTAATTTAAGAAACGGTGAAAGGCCAGAAATAGGGAACGCGGAAACAGAAGGAAACAGATAGAGAGATCCAATCTCGGAGGGGCTCCCGCCCCTCCGCTGCCATGGAGGCCATGGACCAGAGGGGAAACCCTTCTCCCATCTAGGGGGAAGGTCAAGGAAGAAGAAGACGGAGGGGGTCTCTCTCCCGGTGGCATCGGAACGCCGCCGGGGCCATCATCATGACGGCGATCGACACCAACTACTTTGCCGCTGTTATCACCAACTCTATCCCCCTCTATGCAGCAGTCTAACACCTCTTCTCCCCGTTGTAATCTCTACTTAAACATGGTGCTCAATGCTATATATTATTTCCTAATGATGCATGGCCATCCTATGATGTTTGAGTAGTTCCATTTTCTCCTATGGGTTGATTGATGATCATGATTGGTTTGAGTTGTATGTTTTATTATTGGTGCTGTCCTATGGTGCTCTCTGTGTCGCGCAAGCATGAGGGATCCCCGCTGTAGGGTTTGCAATATGTTCATGATTTGCTTATGGTGGGTGGCGTGAGTGATAGAAACACATACCCGAGTAAGTAGGTTGTTTGCGTATGGGAGTTAAGAGGATTTGATGCTTTAATGCTATGTTTGGGTCTTACCTTAATTATCTTTAGTAGTTATGGATGTTTGCTAGAGTTCCCATCATAAGTGCATAGTATCCAAGTAGAGAAAGTATGTTGGCTTATGCCTCTCCATGATATAAAATTACAATAAT